CTTAAATAGATTTGTCTTCTTTTATCGTAGAACGTAAAAAAGTGCCTCCTAGGTTTTTTATAAGTTTTTAAGTTCATATTATACATTATTACCATACATTACGTAAACGTATTTACATTTTGCGATAGAGTATTCGAAACGTGCTAAATAAATAATATTAATTTACATTTTGTAAAGAACTCGTTGATGATACGGAAATGTTAATATCACATTGTGTAATCAACGTTTTGTGTTGCAATCAACGACCGTAATTTTGGACGTCATTTATTACGATAATTTGAAGTGGAATATTATAGAGAATGCTTAATGAGGTGGGGAGATTAGATATATTTATGTGTCTATTTTATGGTTCAAATGTATTTTTAAGTTTGTTCATTAGAATTCGGCGGTCTGTCAACGAAAAATTACTAATTATTTTCACCCGGGAATTGAATTCAGGTTATCCACCCTTCCACACTATGCTAGACTAGGCTAGACCATCAAGTCACTAAGTAAAGTAGAATACTTAAGGTGTAACGCATTTGTCTATTTTCTTTTTTAAATTTTCAAGAAATAAACATACCTTTAAATTCACCGCCTCTGTACCTAAACGGTTAAGCGTGTCGCATTGCATTAAGCTAGAAAGTTGCTGACTTTGAATTTCGGGAAAACAAAACATGGTCGGATTGCCTGTAAAAAAACCGATCAGAAACGTATTTGCCCCATGCCCCACGGAGAGTAACGGAATTTAACTGATATAGAAAAGAAAATTTTTTGAAAACTTTATTTTTTTTCACATTTTTTTCCCAAAGAAGGACTATATAAATTAAAAATTGAAAATTAATTTTAAAATTTTTTTTTTATGCACGGAAAGCTGACGATGCCGGTTCATGTCCTGCCCCCGAGTCGAAAATTTTTTAATTTTTTTTTTTTTTTTAAAAAAAATTTTTTATTTTATAATGTAAATCTTTTAATTGTATTTTTAAATGTGGGTAGTTTTATTTATTTTTTAAATAAAACTACCCACATTAATTGAAGGATAAGTCATACACATTCTGATATATTGAACGCGATTCTGCAAACATTTAAAGAGCCGGTCGTAATCGGCAGTAATTTCAGCTACGTAACAAGTAGAGAACAAAAAGCCCGAGCCAGCACAAAAGTGGTTCGGTTCGTTCGCTACCAGTCGTTAGGCTTTCAAAGAATAGTTCTCTAAGGCTGTTGTCTTCTATAAACGCTTGAGGTGGCGATGTTTGCGTCAGTTGCGTCATACGTACTTACGTGCCTATACTAAATTCAGAAGTTAGTAGACTAATCATTCTGTTTTTGCATTTACAATCCTGTTGCGAATAATTTACCAAAAGAACTACGGAAGGAACTACTCCACGAAAACGATAAAAAAGAGACAACAACAGGGCCTACATTTTTATTAAAGGAAGCAGCGAATTGGTTTTTTTTTTAATCATTATAGTGTATTGTGGCCCGGTGCCATCTAATTAACTGGACCTTATAAGAGCTAGCAAGAAAGCCCTAAAATTTTATTTTTAAAAGGTAACACATAGCTCAGAGAATAGCTTATTTATTTATTAACTCTTTATTGCAAAACACACAAAGTGCATATAACTTAGAAATAGTCTTAAAAATACAACTATATACTAGAGAAAAAATAATTCTAGAGCTATCTCTTTCAGGCGAAAATCATTTTATAATATTATTATATATAACTATATATCATGGGAACGGGCAGGTCGTTAATATTAGTAATGTATAGCGACTTAAATATTAAGAAACCAAAAATTGTAATAAAATCCTAGTGTCAAAACGGACCTCGTGGAAAGTTTGTACCAAAGAGATCACGAGATTTTTGAACTTCACTGTTATTCAACTTGTACAAAAAAAACTTGTAAATCAACCTGTACCAAGGAAAAAACGACGTTGTACTAAATACTGTGTGTACTTTACACGAGTAGCACACATTTAAATAAAATACTGTAACGGTTCACAACGCGACATATATTAGTTACACTTATTTGAAAATGATTTTAACTCCACGGCTGCTGTAAAGCATCTAAACGTCGGGCCGTAGTTAAAATTATTTTCAAATAAGTTTAGCTAATATATATCGCGTTTTAAACTGTTAAAGTTTATTTAGGCGTTATACTAATCAGAGGTTTACCTATCTACTGCGTTTCTAGGGAACGAGAGCCTAAACGCAGCTCGTGAAGAACGACTGAATTCAGACATTAATGACACCTTATAACTGCAAACTTGGACTCCACTCGGTACCAGCCAATTATTGCGGTAATTTATGCTAAATCGGGCTCGGCTTCGAGTCCACGTTATGCAATAGGATTTAAAACGAGCTCGATATAACTGGGACTCTCTGAAAGCTGTTTCTGTTTTAGTAGGGAATTTTATTGTTTATTGCGAAAGTTATTAACAGCAAATTGAATTGTATACAATATAGCATCCAAATAAGATGCGCTGTCGACCTATTTGGCTTTGGATATTCGGAAATCCAAAGACTGAAACCGAAACGCGATTAAGCTTCACGGCTTTTTCATCTGTATAGTGGTTCGTGACCCGGACGGAATTTCTATATTCCTACCATCCATTTAATATCCAGATTTCCAGAGGCAATCCGAAATTTTTCAGAAAAATTATAAATTGATTAAAAACATGGACGTGGTGGGGATCGAACCCACGACGCGTCGATTGTTACATACACTGCTACTATTAGACCAATGCGCTCGTCAAACAGCCGTCTTTACAGTTTGTTAAAACCAGCGATAAAACCTCCATTAAAATCAAGGTAAGCCAGCGATAATCAAGAAGATAGCTCGGCCTCATTCCATAATGCCTTCGAAGCGAGTATTTAATATAGCCCTAACAACGCCGAATGAGAATAAAAATGTGTCAAGTGCGAAATACACTTTGTATCATTCTTAACATTAATACATTTGAATTTTGAATCTGTGGTTTACATCATTAAATTCCGTTTCTACTCGGATGGGACAGGCACACATCTGGGATTTGAAGGCTAGTAGTAGTTTCATAGCCCGACATAAATTGTTATTAGAGTTATTATTTTTTAAATTCACAAACTAATGTATAATTTTATAAGACATGTTGAAAAAAACCGGACTGAATTTCTTGGATCCTTCTCGGTCATTTTGCACTTTTGAACACTCTGTAGAACCACGACGGACAAACATGCAAACATTTTTTTTTTGTTTGAGCAATCTAAATAGTTTTTAAAATTTCAAAGAGAATAAAGCACATTTTATTTTACCTTTGACTACACGTTGAATACAATGAAAAAAGGCAATAATTATTAACTGGTTCCATTTCAAAATTAAATTAAATCGCACAATACTAAAAACCCTACTTTGAAATAACAAATAAAACAAAAAGAAATTATTTGAAAGAAAGTTAGATTGATTATTCAATTGGGCAGAGTCACCCTTTAGGCAGTTGTCGGCACAACCAAACTCCGTTGAATGAAGCGGCACGCGCGTATACACACTTGTCATCCCTCCTTGATGACGTCATCTCAGTAGTCCTCTAACATATGATTCATTTACCCGTGATTTAGTGATTCACTCGAGCCGCTACTGGAGCCATCTGGTGCGTGCGGAATGCCAACCTCCACGGCGATGTCGAACTGCCGACCCTTAGTCGGTACTTCAAAGAAACGTCTGAACGCTTCTTAAAAAAGCCGCGTCGCATCCGAACCCACTGGTGGCCCGGGCCGCCAACTATACCGTTCCCGTCAATACACACTGGAGAAGGCCGCGAAATATTCTCATCGACCCCGACGACAACTTAATACTATACAAATGTCTATATACTAATATTTTAGGAAGTTAACATTAAAAATCGATGAAACAAACGGGAGTTGAACCAGGTATACTTTCGCCGTATAAGGAATTTGTATTTATTTTGAATTCATCTGTAATAAAAAAAGATAAATAAAACACCAAATATTGTTCAAAATGTATTCAGACATTTGAGTGTACAATCATAGAATGGTAACTCGCCACACGAATAAATAATAATTAACAAAAATTTAAATAAAATTAATAACAAAATAAAAAATGTAAAGCTCGTTTATCAATCGATAAAAATACTTAAAATTACGGAAATTGACTAATTCATTTATTACTTAGAACGATTTGTGAGAATATTCTGTTATCACAGTGTACAGCGATAAATACAGCGTAAGGAATATATGTGTTAAAGTGTTCAGTACAAAATATTAAGTATTGCGTAAATAAATGCTGAATTCCATAAGACTATATTGATATACCATCAGTCTCTAATCAAAATAGGATATGCTGAGTTATATTTAGGTAGTCTGTTAAGCCTCCATCTAACGTGGGTTACATTATTTTTCTATATAATACAATGTTGAGACCTATTTGCAACTAAAACAGAGTATAGATTAATTCAAATAAGTATAGCCTGTAGTTTACGCGAGAAATACACATTGCAATAAAACACTTTTAACGGTTTAAAACGTGAAATATATTAATTATTAATTTATCCGAAACATTGTAATAATAATTAATGTATTTTGCGTTTTGAGCCGTTAAAAGTGTTATATTTACACCGTATTTTTTGTTACTCTTTATAATTTTGAGCTAGTCATAAATACAGCAAATTAAATATTAAAACTCAAATTTATAAAGAGTTACGATTTAAATCGAAGACTTCAAACGGTTTAAAACGCTAAAACAATAGTTAAATTACTTTAAATTAGCTCAGATGGCTGTTCCGCAGCTGCCATAAATCTAAAACAACCTAGTAAAAAATATTTCTCGTTTTAAACCGTTTGAAGCCTTCGATTTAAATCGTAACTCTATAATTTTGATCCAGTCATACATATTCATTTTGCTTCAGTTTGTAATGCCATAAAATGTGTCTACATTTCTCGTATCATATGAGATGTCAAACTTCATCGCTTTCAATTCGATTCAAGTTAGATGGAGGTCTACAAATGGAACTTTAAAACGGAACTGTTAAACGGAAGCTTTACTACAAGCGTTGATATCGCCGATGCTCTTTACGCGTCTGTGCCTCCGTTGTCTGACGGCCGAGTCGTCTACAGACTTAGCCGGCAGTGGGGAGCTCACTCTGTGCGCGTGATCCGCTTTTTGTCCGTACCTGGGGACAAAAGATAGAACTAAAATACGCGTTTAATTTTAAAATTTGTGAACAAAAAAGGAAAAGTGAACAAAAAAGAAAACCCGTTTCCTCCCGTGGGGCATGGGGCGAACACATTTCTGTGTCCGTTTCACCGATCTTCTTATTTACAGGTAAGTAGATTTTCAGACCTCGTTTGACGGGATTGTAATGTAATATATGGCTTAACAACGGTCGATTCCAACCAGGTTTTACAGGTTTGCAATCAATTTATAATTTTTCTGAAACTTTTCGTTTCTTCGAGTTTCGTTTTAATAATTATTTTGATAACGCATCTTAAATTGCAAGTTTTAAGGTTGAAATTACATTGCGCGAGAGGTGCATGTATCAATAAGTTGAAAAAATTCGACGATGAGGTGTAGGACTCGGTAGCTCAGTTGGTAGAGCAATAGCACGGAAAGCTGACGATGTCGGTTCAAGTCCTGCCCGAGTCGACAAATTTTTCAATTTATTTTCGATTTTTAAATTATATAGTGCCTTCATGTGCACATGTAAAAAATATTAATGTTTTTAAACGCATCTTGCCAAATGCTATGGTTCGGGTATTTTTGTCTGTCTTCCTATATCTTTAAAAATATGAATATTATTTGTCAAGAATTGTGGGGTCCAAGTACACATTATGTCAGTAAGTAGTACCTATTACATAAAAATGTGGTATAAAGTGTTAAAAACATTATTATTTTTTACATATTATTGCACATGAAGGCACTATATAATTTAAAAACTATAATAATTTAAATTATGTGGTATAAAGTCAAAATTCATTATATAACATTATTTGTACATAATATATTGTTACATTTGTACAACAATAGGTGATTCCTCCACATACATGTGTTTATTTTTGTGTTGTTCTCTTGTGGAATAAATGATAAGATTTTAAAGATACTCACCTATGTGTAATGCCCTCTTTAATTTCGTTGAGTCGCTGTAGGCTATCTCGTGTGGACACGCTCGACTGCGAGTAGAGACTTAGGGGGGTGTATATCGGCTCGTACTCTTGAAGGGTCGGAGGTGGGGCATAAGTCATGCTCAGTTGAGACAAAGTCCTGCCACCTATCGGCGGAGAGTAGCACATCTGATACGTTTGACCTAGACTTAACACGCTCGAGCTCTCGCTAGAAGAAGACGGCGATGTGCGGTCGTGTTTTGATTTCAATGCACCCAACGCTCGTGTGATTGAACCCTGTATATCAGAATTATAGACAGTAATTATTTTATTTGAAAATGGAACAAACAGTCATATACAGAACAAAAGAATAATTAAAACCTTTTATTTTTTAATTATACATATTGCATACTTGATGATAGTGTAAATAATCTATAACACAATTAAAGATATATCCGTGAAACAAGGAGGAATATCGATATTCCGTCCCAGCCACCAAGTGTCAAGATACATGAAAAAATCGTGATGAATTGGAAAAACCACAGACTAAAACCGAATTTCAGTCTGTGGTTTTACGAATATACCTATAAAGGCGAAAAAGGGTATCTTGTGTAAATTATGATTTACTCATATATTTAACAAATCTATTTTGTATCATACTCTTGGTTCTTAAAAAGTATTTTGCACTAATTAGGTAACACAACAACAACTCACTCTTAAACTATGTCTTCTTGAATCAGCATTAAAATCGATTCCCGGTAAGCCGGTAGCGACTGATCTTGAAAATGGTCTACCTAACATTCTTATTTGGTGTCCGAACATGTTCCTGAAAGCGTTACTTAAGTGAGTAATATGTTTAAATGCGCACGATTCGATAGAAGCCAGACATCAGCCAGCAATAACTTATAAATCTGTTTTATTGCGCCCTCAGGCATTATCGTCTCTAACACAGAAAGCTTCATGCAAAAAATTTGCATTTTTAAATCCACTTCTTTTGATATATTGAGAAAAATGAGAAATTAAAACATAAATGAATCGAAGTCAATGTTAAGTTAAATAAACTGAGCTCACACCAAAAGCATGATGCACAGAAATATAGAAATCATGCTTATGTGTAGAAGTAGATAAAATGACCTGGCACAAAACAAATGTCTAGCTACCAAAGAACAATATTGTGCTTTTAATTCTAAATTTAAATACGTATGTTTAAAAAACGAAACCATTCTCTAACGGTAAACCTCGATTGAAAAGATTTGAAATACGATCTGAACTTTCGCCAAACTTATATAAAGCTTTTTGCCGACGTCAAAACTTTTCACATCAAAAGAAATTCGGTGTAAGTTTCAGTATCATCGTTGCCACCTCCTAATTTTCACTCGACACTGTGACAAAAATTGCTCCGAGATAAAAGAGCAGCTACTGCTTTAACTTAACAACATTTTTCTTTGGTAAAATCGAAAGTCATAATAAAATTCCAAAAGTAAAAAGCGCATCAGTGACTCAAGAAACTAATCAAACGACGTATGATCAGAAAGAAACTGACAATGTTCATGAAATAAAATCGACACAGTGGACTAAGCCCGAATAGGTGCGATCTAATGATGATGACAGAGAGGCATTCATGATTTATCGATAAAATGATTTACCGTTCTCGTTTGATGATCGCCGAGGGATGACGGACAAGAAAATGACTCGACAATCTCATGGTTTTATCGTTTTCAAAGTTTTTATTCACATTTATATGCCGAACGATAGTTACATAATTGATCTAATATACATACATTAAATTGTACATTACGAATGTATACAATACAATTCAAAAACATAGATATCTTACAACATCGGTAATGCTATTTATTGTATTAATCCTAAAGCTATTGTGAATGGTTCCGATTTAATTAAGAATTCGATGAAATAATTTAAAATTTTCTATAAATTCGTATAACAAAGAAACGTGTTGAATAATTACGAAGTTTTACAATAAGATAAGCACGACGCATTATATGCTACGTGAATTTTCGTCTAATCTTTACGTCGACTACGGTTACCGAATCGTATTGAATCTGAAGTTTCTTATTTGTCAAAAATCTATAACGCTACGGGTCGAAGTCCCGGAGGCGGGGAAGGACACAATTCTAACACCGACGAGCTGGAAATAATTACGATTGTTCACGACCGGTCAAACTTCGAAACGCTTACAAACCACGATACCTACAATTACTTTTCAGTCTTCACCGCTCGTAAAGTTTTCGATCAAAAAAATCTCCAAGAACGAGCGAGTTCGACGGAAGGAATTCTATAAAATACATAATTTGTCGCAAAGGAAAATCTCTTTTGTGGAAAAATAGCACTTTACTAACGATAGCACGAGGAGTACATTAGGTAGACGCATGGGACCGGACTCTAAGCGAGATTATTTTTTAAAAGAGAGCTTTTTAATTTTTCTACGTTTATCTTTGTTTTGTGGACAACATGGATGCTCGGGCAGCCTCCACTTGCAGTTCTTCCACCTGGCAAAATATCGTATACCTGCAGGATTGCACCTTACATTATAATCAACTACCAGGTATCTCTATGGGCTGTGTCTGTGATATTATTCTCATGCAGTGCATTCTTTCATATTCTGGAAGTATGATCAAATGCTCAGCTCAAATCTCGTGGTTTGAAAGCACGTGGTAATTATTAGGTTATATTTTGCATCGAGAGTGTACCTAAATTATATTGTTTCCTAAGTGTACCTAATTTTTAAGTTACGCTGGACAATATGGTTACAATTGACCGTCCTATGCCTTTACCTTGCGGGAATGATGAGAGCATCGAACTCGGCGACTAAATGTCTTCGTATGATGCTCTTCGAGGGTGGTATGCCAAGAGCGGTGGCCATTGTTTCCCCAGTAAACGACGGTTCTAGAACTACCAGACCGCCGTGCACTCCGCTATCTGTTGTAAAAGTAAATCAAAAAGCCTTTTATTTCTTGAAAATTTTAATATTTTTCAAGCACATGCTGGCATTATGTAAATTGAAAATCGAATAAAATTGGAAAAAAATCGAAGGGGCAGGTTTGAACCGCCTTAGACTTTTTGAGACGGTAACTCATAATACAGCCTCTTAAGGAGAATTTAAAAAAAACAAACTAATGAAGGAAGAGCTCTACGTAGCAATAGGTATTATAATCTATAGTTAAATCCACCCAAATGATCTAAATTGTATCTTTAAACTAAAACAATGATTACAACCACGGTTTCTTAATAAATAATTTCTTGACAAAGTCCCAATTAAGTAAGCTAAATTCGCTACCAATATATTTATATACCTACAGTTTCTTTTAAAACATTTTCGCCTCAGAAAATTTATTCAAGGATGCGAAAGATAAATTAAATGATAGAACGTTACCTTTCAGGTTGTCAGCGAATTCACCCAAGTCGATGTTATGTGCCCAGCGGATGAATCTCTGATTGGTCCACACTAGGGGGTCTGCGTCAACATTTTCGCATTGATGACGACGTACCGCTAACGCCTAAAAACGTTAGAATATATTTAAGACAATAATTACACAAAATGACCTACGTATAGTCCCCCGTGACCACGGCAACGCATGCGCTGCAAAGCATCGGGAACTTTGGGCCATAGTTAAAATAAAATGTAAATAAGTTAACTATTAAATTTCGCGTTTCAAACCGTTAAAAGGTGTTTTTTATTCATATTAGTCATCATTTAACTTTTTATCAAATGAACCCAATTCTACTTGAAGGCTGCAGGCTTAGTGTAGGGCTTTAGCAAAACTTATTTGCTAAAGATAAGAATAATACTATCTATATCTAATATAAAATAATTAAATATATAACTAATCTATTAAAATTTGTTGGAAATCTGTATGTATAGACAGCCAAACATATTTCAGGACAGAGTGTTCCAAAGAGTCACAT